ATCCATTAGATTGTAAGCTCCTTGAGGGCAGGGACTGTCTTTTGCCTCTTTTTTGTATTCAAGGTGCTTAGCACAGTGCCTGGCACATAGAAGGCCCTCAGCAAGTCACTTTCATTGATGATTTAGGCTCACAACAACCTGGAGAGGTGCTGCTGTTATCATCCCCATTTTTATAGATAAGGAAATTGAGGCAGACAGCGGTTAAGTGACTTGTCCAGGGTTACCCACCTGGTTAAGTGTCTGCAGCAGCATCTGAACTCAGTTCTTCCTAACTCCAGACCCTGCTGTCTAACCACGGTGCCACCTCCCTGCCTACAAGACACATACAAGTAGACAGATATTAATCTCACAGGGGAAGGCACCAGCTGCTTAGGGATCATTTCAGCTGAATCTTGAAGGAAATCAAGGATTCTTTATTAGTTTAATTTATTCTAAATTTGATGCTCACCCCCAAAGGGGGAAATATTCCCATAAACAAAGCAGAAAAGAAAGAGGATTGATTAGGGGGGAAGTCATGAATTCCTATTATGATCAGCTTCTTTTCAATAGTAAATGGTAATATCAACACGTTCCTTTCAAAGATGTTTGGCTTATCTACTGTCTTTCCCCAGCATTTGTCTCTTCCCTCCTGGGAATTTTAACAAATGCTTTAATGATTCTCTTTTCTTTCTGTTTTAGGGGGAATGGAGGGGAATGGGAAAATGAGTGAGAGGAAGACTATCCCCAGCTAGAGGAACCTGGTGACTCAGATAGAATCCTGGGCCTGGAGTCAGGAAGATCTGAGTTCAAATTCAGACTCAGACACTTACTAGCTGTATGCTCCTGGGCAAGTCACTTCAGCACTCTTTGCCTCAGTTTCCTCAACTGTGAAATAAAGATAATAATAGCATCTACCTCATGGTGTTGTTGTCAAAAGGGGATTTGGGGGGAAATGTAACTCACTCCATTTTGTCAATTATGAGATTTATGTACCTTTCAGAGCCAAGCCTCTTTGACTGGTACTGAAAGTCTCCTTCAGGGTATTAGAATAGGCAAAGAAGAAACAAAGCTATCACTCTTTGCAGATGACATGATGATATACTTAGAGAATCCTAGAGAATCAAGTAAAAAACTACTTGAAATAATAAACAACTTCAGCAAAGTTGCAGGCTATAAAATAAACCCACATAAATCATCAGCATTTCTATATATTAGTAACAAAGCCCAATAGCAAGAGATAGAAAGAGAAATTCCATTTAAACTTACTGTAGACATTATAAAATAGTTGGGAGTCTACCTCCCGAAACAAACCCAGGAACTCTATGAACACAATTACAAAACACTTTTCATACAAATAAAGTCAGATCTAAAAAATTGGAAAAACATCAGTTTCTCATGGGTAGGCCAAGCTAATACAATAAAAATGACAATTCTACCTAAGCTAATTTACTTATTCAGTGCCTTACCAATCAAACTACCAAAAATTATTTTATAGAGTTAGAAAAATAATAACAAGATTCATTTGGAAGAACAAAAGGTCCAGAATATCAAGGGGAACTAATGAAAAGAAATGCAGGGGAAGGTGGCCCAGCAATTCCAGATCTTAAATTGTATTATAAAGCAGCAATCATCACAACTGCTTGGTATTGGCTGAGAAATAGAGTGGTGGATCAGTGGAACAGGTTAAATATGTAAGACACAGTAGTCAATGACTATAGTAATCTACTATTTCATAAACCCAAAGACCCCAGCTTCTGGGGATAAGAACCCACTCTTTAAAAAAAACTGCTGGAGGGGCAGCTAGGTGGCGAAGCGGATAAAGTACCAGCCCTGAAGTCAGGAGGACCTGAGTTCAAATCCGGCCTCAGACACATAATACTTCCTAACTGTGTGACTCTGGGCAAGTCACTTAACCCCAACTGCCTCACTAAAAAAAAAAAAACTGCTGGGAAAACTGGAAAAGAGCATGGTAGAAACTAGGCATTGATCAAGATCTCACACCATATACCAAAATAAAGTCAAAATGGGTTCATGATTTAGATATAAAGGCTGATACTATAAGCAAACTGGGAGGCAACGAATAGTTTACCTTTCAGATCTATGGAGAACAGAAGAATTCATGACCAAACAGGAGATAGAGAACATTACAAAAAGCAAAATGGATAATTTTTTTTACATTAAATTGAAAAGTTTTTGCACAAACAAAACCAATGCAAGTAAAATTAGAAGGAAGGTAGAAAATTGGGAAAGAATTTTTACGACCAGTCTCTCTGACAAGGGCCTCATTTCTAAAATATATAGAGAATTAAGTCAATTTTATAAGAATACAAGCCATTCCCCAATTGAGAAATGGTCAAAGGATATGAAGAGACAGTTCTCAGATGAAGAAATTAAAGCCATCTATAGTCATATGAAAAAATACTCTAAATCATTATTGATTAGAGAAATGCAAATCAAAACAACTCTGAGGTACCACCTCATACCTATCAGATTGGCCAACATGACAAAACAGGAAAATGATAAATGTTGGAGAAGATGTAGGAAAATTGGAACACTAATGCATTGTGGGTGGAGTTGTGAAATGATTCAACCATTTTGGAGAATAATCTGGAACTATGTCTAAAGGGCTATAAAAACATGCATATCCGTTGACCCAGCAATAGCACTTCTAGAGCTATATCCCAAAGAGATCATACAAATGGGAAAAGCACCCACATGTACAAAAATATTTATAGCAGCTCTTTTTTGTGGTGGCAAAGAATTGGAAATTGAGAGGATGCCCATCAATTGGGGAATGCCTGAACAAGTTGTGGTATATGAATGTAATGGAATACTATCATGCTATAAGAAATGATGAACAGGCTGACTTCAGAAAAACCTGTATGTGGACTTGTATGCACTGATGCTGAGTGAAATGAGCAGAACCAAGAGAATGTTGTACACGATAACAGCCACACTGTGCAATGACTAATATTGATAAACTTAACCCTTCCCAGCAATACAAGGATCTAAGACATCTCCAGAGGCTTCATGATGGAAAATGCTATCCACATCCAAAGAAAGAACTAGGGAAGTTGAATTGCTATTTTTTTTCTCTTCTGTTGAGTTTTGTTTCCTCTTTCTGATGGTTCCTCCTATTGGTTTTAATTTTTACTTACAACACCACTAATATGAAAATATGTTTAATGAGAATGTAAATGTATAGCCTATATCAGATTGTGCACCATCTTGGGGAGGGTGGTGGGGAGGAAGGAAGAGAAAAAATTTTAAACTCAAAAGCATATGGAAGTGATTATTGATAAATCAAAATAAATTAATAAAATTTAAAAAATAAAAAATAATCAGAATAGAAAAAAAAAAGAAAATCTCCTTCAGGACCACCCTTCCCCCATAACAAAGACACTATTCACTCCCTTCTCTTCATCTAATCGGGAGAAGGCAAATAGTGGGAGCTTAATATATGCTAATTAACTAGCTGGTAAAGAAGAGACTGTTGTCTTTGGTCCCTTACAAATACAGGGCATCCTCCTTCTTTTTCAAAAAGGTGCCTCAGTTTACTTATCAGTTTATTTTTATGATTCAGCTTACTTAAAATTACAGTACCTACCTCCCAGGGTGGTCATAAGGATTTAATGAGAAAATAATTGTAAATTATCTAGCACAGTGCCTGGCACTGTAACTGTTTTATAAATGTTAGCAATTATTCTCTGGGACATACATACCGTGCACATACATAAACATATACACAATATATGTATAGAAATAAACATACCTATGTTTATCCATGTAGACATAGAGACACATGGATATGTGATCTGTGGAACTAAAGGACACTCCTGTCTATCTGCTACAGATGGAGTGAATACAAAGAGGGCAGTGTACCTGCCTGGCGCATCCTGAGCTGTCTTATTCAGGCTGTCCCTGCAAAGGTCTCTACCAAGGACCCTGACAATTCTTACTACAGGATCAAATAGGACAATATTTATAAGGCTGCTGGCATGGAGCAGACAGCATGACCAGCTCCAAGCCCCTTCCAGTCTTCTCACACCTTCCTCCCCTCCAGCTCCTCTCTGACCCAGGGACACTGGCCTCCTGGCCAATCCTTGACTTCTCAATGGCTGTCTCTCATGCTTGGAATGCCCTCCCCACTCCTGGCTTCCTTCCAGTCTCTGATAAAATCTACCCTCTGAAAACAAGCTTTTCCTGGTCTCCCAAAACTGTTAGAACCTTCCCTCTGAAAGCACCTTCCTTCTATACTACAGAGAGCTTGTTTGGACACAGCTGCTGACAGCATGTCTCCCCCATTAGACTGGGAGCTTCTTGAGGACAGGACCTGATTTTTCCTTCCTTTGTATCCAAGGAAGTTCTGAACAGTGTCTGGCACAGAGGAACCACTTTCTAAATGTTTGTTGACTTGACTTCAAAAAATGGCAAAGGGAAGAGATTCAGAGAGATCTGGGGAGACACATTTGAGCTGAGGCAGAGTCAGTGAGCAGAACCAGGACAATTTTGACTCTGAGGCAACACAGTCTAGGACCAGAGCTGGGGGAGCCTTCAGGCCTCTGCTCCAGGCCTGTCCAGACAAGACTCAGGTGGAAAGAGGTTTTCTTTGACTTTCAGTTGCTACAGGGAAGAGCTTGAAACAGAGTGGGGAGGACTTGTGTGTAGGAGGAGGGGGGCTGGGCGGGAAGAAGAGAGCAAAGCCACAATGCCTAGGGACAGGGACTGACCAGTGAAGTGGTCACCCTTGTCAGTCACTTGTACTGAGAGAGAACCTGAAAACAAACAGAGGGCAGGGACTGGGGACGTTGGTGCTCAAGATGCCCACCTGCCATGAATGAGTTCAAAAGGCAAAAGGAGGGAGCAGGGCAGTACGGTTATGACTGTATTCAATTCCCTGCCTATTTTTGTAAAGAAACAATCCACAGGGAAGAAAGACTGACAGCCTCGCAGCCAATCCTGTCTCTGGAAATGGCCTCATTGGCTGATGTCGGTCAAGCCTGAGGACAGAGTGCACTCACCTGGGCTGGGGGTCTGCAGCTCCCAGGGGCCATTCCCTCTGGTTCCAGGCTCCCTGCTTGGGTCAAGCCTTGGTCCTTTGCAGGCTCAGCTGAGGAGGAAGAAGGATCCCAGAGATGGAGATGTCTTTCCCTTCTCTTCCTAGGCAGCAGGGTGACCTACAGGGATTTAAGGGGGTGAGGTCCCATAGGAGTTACAAAGATCCTGGCTCTCCTCTTACGGCACAGACTCCAACAGGAGAGGTACCTGGAGGGTCAGGCTTGAAATGAAGATGGTCTGAACAGGAAGACTACTTCCCTCCTTCTCTTACTCCTTCTCTCCTGACCCATCTTTCTACAGAGACCCAGAAGCCAGAGGGGGCTCTGAGATCCCAGATAGGAGGAGAGGAGTCAAAGCCTCAGTGACCCCTGAGTCAGATCCCTCCTTCCAGTTGGTACTCTCCTCCTCTCTTGGCATCCCCTAGCCCCAACTCTCTCTCTCTCTCTCTCTCTTTCTCTCTCTCTCTCTCTCTCTCTCTCACACACACACACACACACACACACACATACACACACACAGATTCCAGACAAAAGACAGACTTCTTGATTTAGGAGGGAGGGTAGCTAAAGAAGAAGGCTGAGGATGGGGAGGACTCTAGGATAGGACTGCCAGAAATGACCAGGAGAAGCCTGAGGTGGCAGACAGAATCCTATCTGAGGTTCAGTTGACTGGAAGGGGGCCTGAGAACTCTGAACAAAGTCAGGGCAGAGAAGCAGGAGACCTGGGTAAGGAAGGGTCAGGGAGGCAGCATATGGAAACAAAGCTGGTGGAGGGGAAAGGGGACATCTTAATGACAGAAGAGTCCCCAGAGCCTGGGAAAGCAGATGATCATGTCCTGGGGTTTAACTAGGAGCTGGGGAGGGCTCCTAGGACCCTTCTTTGGAGCTTAAGCTTGGAGGTGGAGATAACGGAGCAAATCCCTTCAATCTGATAGGGAGCTAGCATGTCCAGTTAAGGGAGGCCAGGCAGGAGCTTCGGTGCCTGGGTCCTAGTTATGCTCTGGGGATGAGGAAGCAGGACTCCTGGGTCCTTACAGGAAGCCCAGGTTGTTGACTTGACAATGAACAGGAGCTGGGGGCAGGGAGACAGGATACGTGGATCCTGAAGGGGAGGCTGAAAGCAATACTCCTGGGTCCCTTTGGGGGAGGCCTGAAGGTTGGGTAAGTGTGACCCAGTGGTGAAACTGGGGATGGTGCCCCAGGATGTTTGGGATGCAGTGGGGAGCCTGGACAAGAGGCAGGAATGGGGAGCCAGCCAGGAGCTTCGGGAGGGAGGGGGGCTCCAAGGGATCCTGGAGGACACTCAGCATGAGGTCAGACAGGGAGGATGAGACCCAAAAGAAAGGCCAGGCAGCAGCAACTAAGCACGGACCTGACTTCCCGACTCAGACCTACCTAGGACCTGCAAGCACAGAGCTGGCTTCCGGAAGGCAGAATGATCTCAGCTTCAAAGGAAGACAGAGCAATCCCAGCTGCAGAGGAAGGAGGCAGCTTGATCTCAGTTCCAGGGGCTCAGGCTTTCAGTCGGCCCACTCTGGTATCCCCAGCCCCGGGAGCCCTGCCCTGCCCAGTGCAGCTGAGAAGCCAGGAACTTCCCTTTCTTCCAATGGCTCCTAGGGGGAGGACCTCAGACCCTGCCTACCTCTCCTCCCTGAGCCCTGCCCTCCATCACGTGGAATGATTTGGCCACTAAAATTACCCTCTTCTACTCTAGACTCCTCCCAGGCCTCCAAACTCCACCCCGAGGCTCGAATTGCACCTGGACCACCCCCAACCAGGCTGGTGGACTTTGAAAGTTCCTCCTCCTACAACTCTGCCACCTCCCTTCCTTCCCTGCTCTGGGACTCAGACCTTCCTCCTGAACAGTATCTCCTGGCCTTCCTCCAGCTCTGCCCCTGCAACACTCATCTTCTCCCTGTCTAGAACATCCAGGCCCTACAGGTCCTTCTCCTTTGTATGTCTTTGCTCTCTTTGGGATACAGACCTAGTAACGGCATTTCTGGGTTAAAGGGTATGCACAGTTTGACAGCCCTTTGGGCAGTGTTCCAAACTGTACCCCCAGAATGATAGAACCAGCTCAAAATTCCACTCGAGGTGCATTACTATCCCTATTTTTTCCACATTCCCTCCACCACTCGTCATTTTCTTTTTCTTTTATGTTAGCCAATATGATGGGTGTGAGGTGGTATCTTAGAGCTGTTTTCATTTGCATTTCTCTGATTATTAGTGATTCAGAGCATTTTTTATATGAATACTGATAGCTTGGATTTCTTCCGTTGTGGTTTTCAAAGGAAGAAATCTACGCTATCAACAACCATATGAAAAAAAAATGCTCCACATCTGTAATCACTTATCCAATCACCAATAATTACAAAGATTCTCAGATTGGCGAAGATGAACATAAAATGAAAATGATAAATGTTGGCAGACCTGAGTACTGTTAGACACACTGACACTGTCAGTGGAGCAGTGAACTGGCCCAGGCATTTCTGTAAAACAATTGGAATTGTGCACAAAACGTTCCTAATCTGTTCATGCTCCTTGACCCAGGAACACCTCCATTAGGTCTATGTGGCAGCAAGATCAAAGAAACAGGAAAAGAACCCAAGTTCAAAAATATTTTAGCAGCTCTTTTTGTTATAGCAAAGAGTTGGAAATTAAGAAGGGACCGATCTCTGGCCCTAATGGCTGAGAAAATTATGATATGTTCATGTAACAGAATAGAATTTTACAAAAAAAAATTTTGAAAGGCATAATAAGATGGAGAAACCTATGAAAATTCATATGAACTGAAGTGCGAATTGAGAAGAAGCAGCAGAACAAATCATTCAGTGGTAACATTGTAAACACAAACAACTTGGATGACTTAAGAACTCTGATCAATAATGCAGTGGTCATGGAGGAGAGGTGCTTCCTAACCCCTTACAGAGAGGTGATGGATTCTGTGCATATTGAAGTAGGCATTCTGGGACATATACAACTAGGGAATTTATTTTGCTTGACTGTACATTTGTGACAAGAGTTTTGGACCTTTTTTTCCCCCATTCTCATCTGGAGGAGGCCAGGTCAGAGGGAGAGAAAATAAGTGTTACTTGAAAAAGAAAATTAAGTTAAAAAAAAAAACCAAGCTCAAGGGGAAAAAATGCTCCAAATCACTAATTAGAAAAATGCAAATTAAACAACTCATATTCTGCCTCAAACTGATGCAACTGGCCAAGATGACAAGATAAGAAGATAACAAGCATTGGAGGCTCTTTGGGGAAATAGTAGCCTTAATTCACTGCTGGTGAAGCAATGAAATCCAAAGTCTCTAAATTGTGCAGCCACTTTGACTCAATGACGGTAATAACGGGCACAGGCACTTGACAGAATCAAAGAAAGAGGAACAGGACCCAACTGTATGAAAATATTAACCGCAGCTCCTTTTGTTGTGGTACCGTACTGGGAACTAGGCATGATATCCTTCAGTAGGGGAATGGCTGAATTCATTTTGATAAATGAATGGAATGGGACACGACTAATATGCCATAAACAATAGGCAACTTTAGGGAAACCTGGGAAGAAACATGTGAACTGATACAGAGTGGTTAGTCGAAGCAAGGGAGTAAGTGATAACATTAACGTGGGAAAGACCGACAACTTTGAAAGATATCACGACTATTATTGTAATGACCAATCATTACTCCAGAGGACTTATAAATATCTGTGCTACCTGCTTTGCTACCATGAGCTGATGGGTTCAAGCAGAATAAAAAGTGCTTTTTGGGACACGGACCATGTGAAAATTCTTTTGCTTGACTGTGTTTCCAAGATAAATTTTTTTTTCTATTTCTTTGGGAGGATTGTAGTTTGAGGGGGACTAGAAACAGGATTGCCTCCCTCATAGAAAAAAGAAAAGAAGAAAATTGATAGATTTGTATATATATGTATACAGAGAGAGAGAGAGAGAGACAGAGAGACAGAGAGAGACAGAGAGACAGAGAGACAGAGAGAGAGAGTAGAAGAGGAAGGCCAGAGGAATCAGGGCAGCTTTGAAAGTGCCTTACTGCATTTTTTAATTACTTAAAAAGTAAAACAAGGTACACATAATAAAAATCGTTTCAGGAGCAAATCTTTCTGTGGCTGTGTATATAAAGTGCTTTTTAATTTTGTGTTTTGGATTTCAAAATTTTAAAAAGTCAAATATTGATACTTTGCTTTTTGTCAGTTTGCCAATTTTCAAGTCATGACAAGAAATGAAAAAAAATAATAATTAATATGACCTTTCTCTTATTATTGGCTCTTTGGAACACACTTTCCTGTGGTCATTTATAGCTGCCAATACTTCTCGGTGCCTTGTCACTGCCGTGTGTGCCTGGCTCCGCTCTCTGCGCTCTGCATCACTTCCCCGACTCTTCCAGGCTTCTCGCGATCCTCCCCCACAGCCGCGGCTCTGCCGGCAGAGTCACGTGCCGTCGCTAGTCCCGCCACGGCCCGGCCCTCTTGGGGCGTGGGCCCAGCGGCGGTACGGCCGGGTCCAAGGGCGCCTGCAGCCCAGGATCCCTTCTGGGCCCGGACCCACATTGTTTCGGGCAGGACGTGGGGTTCAGAGCCTGGGTGGGGCGGGGGTCCCTGGCTTTGACCCTGGATCAGCACCCATCGACGCCTGTGGCCCCTGAGTCATCCGGGAAATGGACAGTTTCGGAAAGAGGAGGACGCCCCCCATTCTCCTGTCCCCTTCGAGGGGGTCAATCAGACCCGTGAAGGCCCGTGGAGGGAGGGGGCGGCCCGAGCTGGGGTGCAGGAGCCCACGAGGGAAGAGGAGGCGTCACTGGGGATGAACTGAGGTCTGGGGGGAGGGGCGTACGGTGGAGAGAAGACGGTGCTGGGGGCTGAGGACCGGGCCAGAGGAGGGGGCGGGGCAGGGCACGGTCCTCAGGGCCTTCCGGCAGCCCCGCCCCCACCTCCGCTCCCGGGCTTCGCGCCTGAGTGTGTGCCGCCCCGGGACTACATTTCCCAGAAGCCCTCGCCCTGCGCTCCACTCCGCTTCCTCTCCGTTCTTACCCCATGACCTCGTGACCTCAGCTGTTCCACCAGTTTGGCTGAATCGGCTCCGGTCCTCTGGGTCCGCGTGTCTCGAGCTCCCCCGAGGATCCCGAGACCCGGACGTTCCGAGCCCCCCGCCCGCCACCGTACCTGGGAGTACTGAGTCCCCCAAGACTCCCCCAAACTTAGAGGTCACGAGCCTTCCCTTCCACTTGAACCCTGCCTTTCAGAACCTCCCCCCATCGAGACCCAGACTCCCAGATACCCCCCCAACCCGGAACCCCCGAAATGCGACCATCCAGAGCCCTGCCCCACCTTGATCACCAGGATCCATGATGCCCTTCCCTGCCACCCCCCCGCCGACCCCACCCGGACCCAGGAGCCCCGCGCGACCCGCCCCAATTCCCCCTCCAAGTTTCCAGTGGCCCCGGTCCCTTTCCCCCACCGAAAGCATTTGTCCTGCCTCTCTCCCGCTCCCACGTCTGGACCGAGGCAGCCCTTCCCCCACCCAACGTGCACCCCCACATCGTATCCCCCTCCCACTCCTTCCCCCCAGCCTGGCTCTGACTCAGCGCCCCCCCCCCCCAGTTTTCTCTTCCAGCCCCTTCAGCACCTGCCAGGAGGCCTTGACGTTCCCCTCTAGGATACCGTACCAGCTGCCCCTTCCCCGGGGGTCTCCACTGCCTCCACCCCCACCTCTGACCCAGCCAGCATCCGGGACTTCTGTCTCCCTGCCCCCGACCACCAGACCCCAGCCCTCCCTTACTGACCCCTGATGAAGGTCTGGGGTTGTCGGGCTGGACTCCGGTCCCCTCCGGAGTTTGGGGCGGGCTGGGGGCGGGCGAAGACAGAGGGGAAGCCCACTGACTACTTCTAAGATTCATTCGTTCTCCAGACCCCACCCGCTTTCCCCCAGTGTTGTTACCCTCGGAGAGCCTTCCCAGAGATGGGGTCTGTTCCCAAGAAAGCCAAGTCCCCAGCCTGCCTGCTCTGATTCTTGGGGACTGGGACCCCTGGCTGCTGAGCTGCTCCTGCTATAGTCAGCCAGCGAGTCAGCAAAAGTGCATGAAGTGCCTACTGTGCGCAGGTGCTAGGCTAGGCCAGGCCAGAGTGATACCAAAAAGGCTAAAAGATTGCCTGGCCACAGGAGCTCCCATTCTAACATGGGATACATCATGGAAATGATATGTGTCTGTCTGTCTGTGTCTTTGTGGGTGGGTGTGTCTAGAGAGAGGATGGGAGGTTATCTCAGGGGGATGGCATCAAGAGCTGGGGTGACAGGGAGAGACCTCCAGGAGGGGGGACCTAAGCTGAGTCCTACAGGGAACCCAGGGGTGGGAGGGAGGGGGCCAAGCATTCTTGCTGCTCTCCCAGGTCACTAACGGCTCTTCCTGCTTTCCCTCTGCAGCCTGTGACTGTCCATCCTCCTCTTCTCCCACTTCTCCTATCTGTCTGACCCGTCCTTCTCCAGGTCCTCTGCCTGGTCTTCATCCAGGTCACACCCACTAAATCTGTGACCAAGGATGTCCCACCCCACTCTGCTCTGGATCCTCTTCTCCCTCTTCCACTTCACCGGGGGGATCTCATCAGCTCCCAGGGATCAGTGATCA